TAAACCGAAAGAGGGGGATTCAGGAGTGTAAACTCGATCGTCACTGTTTAAATTAGTGCTCTCAGCCCCTTCCTGAGGGAGTTCTGTGCTCACGGTTTGAGCAAGAGGACGTTTGCTGTCTCGTGGGAGGACGCATCTGGCTGAGAGATTTGTGACCAGGTGGTGTCTGCGTGCAGCCTGTTGTCAGTGTCGCCGTTGCTCATCGTGGTGACTCAGAGACGTTCCTCCTGGAGCCGGGCTTGGTTAGTCACCTGGTCTTCCACAAGCCTTCACCTGCAGAATGTAGCTTCCTCTCCCATTTGCTCTTTTAATCCTGTCCTGAGCACCCTTGCACCCCCAACAAAAGAAGTATTATAAACCAAGTTTCAAAAACTTTTGAAAGTTTTTAAAAAGACTTTCACCGAAGCGAGGGCAGAGCAAATCCCCTCTGCCCAGGAAGGAGGAACTTTAAACTGAGCTAGGCCGGGCGCGGTGGCTCACACCTGGAATCCTGGCACTCTGGGAGGCCGAGGCGGGAGGATCACTCGAGCCCAGGAGTTGGAGGTCACCGTGAACAAAAGGAGATAGAGCAAAACCTTGTCACAAACAAACAAACAAAAACATAACTTAAAGCCATTGTGATTAGATGCAATTATCCTGGGAGGGGGTGAAGATAGAAAAAAGGCAGGGTTCTAAAATGTCAAAGTCAGGTTGATGAAAAGGGCCAGACAGGGACTGGCAAGGAGCATATAGGACGGTTAGGGGGAAAATCAGGCCAGTCAAGTATTCTCTGAGGGTCAAGAGAAGACTGGGTTTCAGGATGGAGACTGCGGACAATGGTGTCAAATGCTGCTGAAACATCAAGTACGATGAGGACAGGAAATTGACCTTTGGCTTTAATAACATGATGGTCGTTGGTGACTTGAGTAAAACTGTTCTGCGGAGGGGTCAGGGCGATGGGAGCGGGTTTAAGGGAGAACGGGCGGAGAGAAATCGCAGACAGCAAGTGCAGACAAGCCTTGCAAGGACTCTGGCTATAAAGGAAAGACATGGGGCCCTGGCGGGGACATCTAACATGGAGGCAATGATCTAGAATGACAAGGTGAGGTGGGGAGAGCCGCTAGAGCAACACCCGTGAGCAGGTGTGGGGGGATGGGCCCTGGCGCACAACCGGAGCTGTTGGCCTTTGTCAAGCGCGAGACCTGTTTACCCCCAGGACTAGGGGGCAGGCAGGGTGCGCAGACAGGAAGGCGGCTGCCTCAGTAGTGTGGTTTCAGGGGGGCTGGGAGTACCCCCTCCACACACCAAAACGCCCAAACCTGTTCGCCAGGGCCTGCAGTGCCCAGGGAGGTGCTCCTGACTTTCAGAAAGAAGTCAAAGTGGCCACAGAAGCCGGCCGCGACCTCAAAGAGGGCGGCGTTTGTGTGTGGCGGGGTTGGTGGCACCGGCTTTTCTGACTGTTGGCAAAGCCAACACAGGACCACTGGGGCAGAACCTTATACTTTCTCCAATTAATTAAGCCAGAAATCATGACTTTTGTAAGAAATGCCCAATTTTAAAATGTTGGTGACATTTAAAGAAAGGTAAAAACACTTTTTATGGATAAATCCGAAATTTTCGACTTCCGTTGTAAAGCGGTATAAGCCTTTAAGACGCAAACCCTTCTTGGGTGAGATTCCTGCTCAATCTGCCATCAGCCTTTCCTACTCCGGTCTTTGGGAGAACGTTCCACATGACTTTGGAGAATGGTTTTTCTCTGTTAGGAAAGCAGGAGTGCTGGAAACACCTCCTGCTGCTGTCTCAGGCCACGGTGGTTTATGACTCATCGTTCAGACCTGGACACATGGTCTCGTACGCTGATCTTCGCCGTCATCTTGTTATAGATTCTCACTTTTGTTTTATCTGACAAAGGAGACCACATACCATGAAATGTTTGTAGAAGTCAGTAGAATTTTATTTCATAAAGTCACTCAAAAGCTGTGTCTTCCATGTTTACTCTCATACATAATTCCTTTATTGACATAGATTCAAAATTTCAGTTACTTGAGATTAATACTCTTTGAAAACTTCCCTAGAATATACTGATTTACTCCATTTTTCCTACCTTCGGCTAGATGACTACCTCACTCAGTATCTCCCATCTTCCTGCTGAGACATTTGAACATGATATGTCCTTAGCAATAACACTCAACCTACGTTAAGAGAGCAGCCCGTAGCAAAGTAGGAGTTATATACCCCCGAGTAAAGAGTAAGAATAGGTGTATTAATATCAGTGATTAGAACAGTCATAGCTGCTACCATTTAGTATCTACCAAATATTATTGTAGGCAATCTGTACCCATTATCCCTAATTCTCACAATATCCTCATTAAATGGGTATGTTTATTACGGAAACTGAGGTTCAGAGGGAAGAAGCAACTCGCTCAGAGTATCAAGATGACGGTGACAGAACCCAACATTAAATCCAGGACTATCTGTGTACACCCTGAGGTTCCCCTTTACGGTCGGGCCTCAGTTCAACAACTATTCATGAACAGTATCTCCCTGCCTGGCCCCGGTTGGGGTCTAGGGATACAATGGTGAATATCCCGTTCTTGCCCATGGAAACGCTGTACTCCAGTAGAGGACAAATAAAAACACATTTTTTCGGCAGGAGAGCGAAACACAAACTGCTGTGCAAGTTCGGGGAGAGAAAGCAAGCCCGGCGCCCGGCCGAGGGCGGTTCAGGCAGGGGCTGATACTCCAAATCGAATCTCAAGGAAGGAGTGAGAATTCAGGTAAAGAAATAGGGGAATAATGTTCTAGGTAAGAAACACGAACAGCATAAACGGACACGTGAGAAAGTGTGAGGCTTTTAGCAAACCGGAAGGAGCCAAGTGCCTCTGGGTGCTCAAGTTCAAGCCGGGCAGCAGCAGAGCTGGGCGCTTGCTGTGCGCTGGGCATGACAGCACTGAAGTATGACACCATCAGGTCCGGGTTCCAAAGGGACATCCTAGCTGCCACGTGAAGGCGATGGGAGGGCATAGTTCGGAAGCTTATTAGGACTCTTCCTTGTTAACTACTCTGATCTTAGCAAAATTTTCCCAGGAGACCATTGTTTTGCTTCTAGAGAACAATTAACTTGCCATCATGACCAAGTGCCAACTGTCATGCACTAAAGGAGACCTCAGCAGCACCGTGCGTGCATAAACACAGTACCTCTTCCTAAGAAATAAAGATGGACTCGTTGTCAGCAGAAATCACAAATTTATTAACTCTTAAATATATCAATCAGCCATTTACCATTATGGCAAGAAATATATACAGTGTCCCATGGTAAACTGCAGTGTTTCAAAATGACAGAAGATAATAAAGGTGTAATTCAGTTGTGGTGGAGAGAACAAATCACGATGTCCTCACATCCGAGTGTGGAAGACAAACTCGATCTACGGTAATACTTCAGCACCACATGCTAAATTAAAAGTGTAAAAAAAAAAAACACTCTACACCTATTTATTTTAAAATACATGTATGCCACGTGTAGCCGCTTCACAAAAAGGTCAAAGAAATTAAAAAGGGAAAAATGAGGCCGTTACTTTTTCACAGATCTCATTGGCAGGTTAACATGGCTCAATACATTTACTGTATATATTTATTTTAAATATATATTGTTTTAAATTGTGTAATAATTATCAGAAAAGCTTCAACCCATCTATCATACATCCACTAGCAATAATATCTAAGGTGATTAGTGATCAACACAGAAAGGTGGTATGAGAGAGAAGAAGGAGGGTTGTTTTTTTGTTGTTTTGTTTTTGTTTTTTGCTTCTGCTTTAAAAATAGGCTTCTGAGGACAGTGAATTACTATCGTGAAAATAACGCGGATGGAGATTCCATGCACTAGAAAGCATTTCAGGGAAGAGAAAAAGCCTCACGGGAATTGAATCAACAAAGAAGTGAGGAGCACGAAGAGAACCCAGGACATTTCCCTTTTCTTTTTGTTTTAAACTGGAAAATCCTAACTCCTTAGAGGAAGCTAATGGTACTCTGACTCAAGAGAGAAGCTGAAAAAGCACAAGTCACAAAGATCAAGTTCAAAACGCTTATGAGAATGGAAAACATTCCTAAGCTTCTCTAACTTGAGAAAACTAGCCAGTGATGATCGGTGGGGGGTGGGGGGGTTGCATTCCACAAGGAAGAACTCAGTGCATTTGCAAAAATCCTTCTCCACTAACAACTTAGTATTCTCCTGGCGATTGTCCCAATCAGTAAGACATTGCAGTCACAGGAGCAACTTATCTGCTTTTACCCTAAGTTTAAACAATTCGAATACCTCCAACTTAGTTAGGACACCTAAGTCCAAACTAGAGCCTAAGCAGAATTAAAAACCTTCAAAGTCTTGACAACATTTTTGTGGACCCTGAAGATGATCAAAAGTGCTAGTTTAGCTACTCCCAAAAGGCCTTGATTTCTATTTTAGCCTCATTTTGCAAATTTCGCTTTCATTCTTTTCTCATATACTCCCAGCCAAAAAAATAATAAAAAAGAGGAAAGAATGGAACAAAAGAAAAATAAAAAAGGAAGCAAACAAAAGCAACAAATAGGAAATAAATGAAATAAAGAAAACAGAGCACAGATTTGAGAAAGAAAAAAAATTCAATGTAGAAAATTCACCAAAACAATGTGAGTATATACTAAAGTGACCAAACTCGTAAGTGATGTGAATTTTTCCAGTTTACATAGTTTGACCAAAAACCACATGGCTTTAGATGATAGCGAACCATCTGATTCTTGCTTCCACATTCCTAAGTGATTTTGCCCACATATCAACCTTCTTCAACTGTTAAACAGCAAAGCTCTCAATGAAAAATCATCCACTTCAACCAGGATCACACCAGGAAACTGAAGGTGTATTTTTTTGCCTTTTTTTTTTAAAAAAAAAAAAAACACAAACAAACCACAACAGATTAACAGCAAAGAGTTCTAAAAAATTTACATTTCTCTTACAAACTGTCATTCAGAAAACAATAGTTTTTAAGTCTGTTAAATCTTGGCATAAGCAGAGAAACTCGATGAATAGTTGTACTTGGAATCTTGTGGAATTTTTTGTCTGACCTCCCCCCATTGGTTGCCAACAGCAATTTAAGTTTGCGTGGAGCATCCCCGCAGCTGGAGTGTAAACAACGTTATAGGAAGGAACATGGTAAGATGACGGATCACATATGCATTACATGTGGGACCTTCACAACTTCATGCACCGAGAAACATGCATGAAGAGGAGGAGAGGACGGCCCAGGATCACCTTCCAGGTGCCTTGAGAACAGAGAATGCAGAGTGGCACTGTCGATATTTAGCTGAAAGGAAAATGGGGGAGGAAGAAATAAATTATATTGTTTTATAAAATACCAAATTGTTTTGCGATAGTTGTGACTAGGTTGCAATTTTATAACACAGCTAACACAGAGATGGAAAACACCATGTATAAGAGATGTTTGCTTGCGATCATTACCAGAAAAATTTCAAAATGTTAAACGAAGACAATATTAAAATAGGAAATCAGTAGTAATTATCTATTTGTTCACACGAAGCTAAGCTAAAAATAAAGAGACAGGGACACAGGCTTCAATCACATTATTAAATCTGAATATGTGTTTTAAGCATTCATATTTGCTAGACAAATTAATAACTGAAAATTATCATTTGGTTGAACTGAAATAGACTCGAAGTTCAAATTCATCCTTAGCTTTTGTCATTATTCTTAGATTCCTCGGGAAATTAAACCTAGAAGTCAATTTAACAAGGAATACAGCATCAAAAGTGGAGAAAACATGCTTATTCTTATTTAATTGGAGGTCTCTTATCTTTAAAGCAACAGCCGGAGGCTGTTTTTTTCTTAAAAGCACTGATAAGGTTCAGTGCTTTGAATGGGCAGATATGCACAATGGCACCACACATATCTGAATGTGTCTAACCCAAGTGTGAGAAACAAATCATTAAAACAACACAGGCATGAAGTTAATTACAGTCAATTTTCAATTATCCTCTGGAATAGCCACTGTGTGAATTTTAAATTTCAGCTTGACTTCCTCCTGTGGCCTGTCCTCATGGCCAAGTACCATTGTACTCAGTAAGGCACAGCAAATTAATTTACATATTCGCCTTAGCCAAAGGCTTATAGGAATTGCAACCTCTTAAAAAACAGTAAGATACGAGAGGAACCCAAAGCTTACTGTCCACGAGGTCTGGATAATTGAGAGTTGTCTGAATTGACCCAAATATAATTTACTTTTGATGTGAGAACACCAAGATTCTAAAATGACACAATCCATATGTTAAAAAAAAATTCTTCTTTAAAAGTTCTACCTTTAAAACAAGGGCTATGCTACAGAATGGGGCTGAACGTCAGACTCAAGAATTCATGCAAAATTGCGATGCGTTTTCAAAGACCTTGTATGTTTTTCACTGAATATAATGCAAGAGAAAATATCCTCCAAAGGAAGAAAACCAGCCATGCAGCTTTGCAGTCCTCAGCTCCTGTCACAGAGTGTCACGGAGCAGGATGTTACTTACAAGACCATATGTGAATGGTTTTCAGGCCTTAGATGTTTTGCCACAAAGAGGTGCCTCCTGAGAAGTTTTCTTTCCCATTTGGAATACAGGGTGGCCTATTAAGAGAAGCCCCATTTAAGCCACCTGGCATAAAATGAAGTTTTCTTAAATAGGCTCTAGCCCATCAACGCTTCAGGGGACAGCAGAAAAACCTCACCCTCTGCTACTGTCTGAACGTGATCCCTTCTATACGCTTCTCTAGTCCCTGGCAGTTTGTGCTGGACCTCTTCGGGATACAAAACAAACATACACACAAAAACCGGTGTCTTCAGTATCTTCATATTCCTTTTGTATCTTTCGCTTAATTACATAGCTATTGTTTTTGAAATGAATTTCAGTCTGTTTTTTTTGTTTTGGTTTGGCTTTTGTTCTTACTGACCCAGTTTTTCCAAATCAACAGTGCCGCATAATTATGAAGGCTATAGGGGAGGCCGTTGAAAAGCACTGTGGTATGTTATCAAACTAGGAAAAGAGAGTGGGTCCTCTCTGCAGGGAGGTGAATGGCTGTTTGTGTGAGCTTGAGTCCCCATGCCACACCCGATGTTGACAGGCCACGCTGGTGAGAGGGTGTGGGAGGAGGTGTGCAGTGGGCCACGCTGCCACTCACTCAGTCTACACTCCCTCTCGGTTTCATCTCACCCCACTTGACTGGTGCAAACAATTTTCCATCATTTCCTCTACTCTGGCTGGAGCCAGCCTTCATCACCCACAGCGTTCCGTCGCGTTAAACCAACATCCTGATACCATACTTGTCTTCACGATTCTCCTTCAGCATGGACCGTCTTCCCTGTGTTTTTTCTATCTTTCTATGTCTCCAAATCCCACTTGTTATTTACGACTTTGTCTAAAAATTCTATCTTAATGCATACAGTGTGCTTCCAAACCGTTACAAACATTCCACTCTACTCTGAAGTCGATTATAAACTTTATTACATAGTTTTATTTTTCCTTTGGAATCAATAATTAGCTGCTTTCTAAACGAGAATGCACACTCCTTGGGGGTAACGTCTTTTCCCTCGCATTGACTCTGGCACAGGCGAAGCACTAGGAGACGGGCAATAAATATCTGTCTAATATTGAGTGTGAGAACAAGCACAGCATGTGAGGTAGAGTGGGGATGTGAGAAAGACACCGTAATACTTTATATTTGCTTTTAAATGCTGTATTTTATACATTTTTCCTAATATCTATGGAAAACCTATGAGATGAAGCTCCTGATAATATATTGGCCATTGTAGAAATGCCTCCCTGTGCTTTCCTCCTGCATCCCCTTCCTGTGCCAACTGTGAAAATGAAGTAACAAACATTTTGTCTGATTACGTGAATCCCCCGGATTTAACCCTGCGAGGAATCACCTTGATAAGCAGGCTCTGGTTCCTATCTAAAATGATCATCTACTGCTCCCTGGTAGGTTTCAACCCACACATGGCCGGTCTGGTTGATCTTCCCAGAGATTCTTCCCACCAAGGCATTATTTCCATCAATGTAACCAACCACTAGCGTTAAGTAACATGTGCCATGCTATTAACAACGGGACAAGTGGAAGGAGCTGACCGTGGGTATGCTAACAAAGAAGCTGACAGCCTGGGAATATTTACTTGATGGGTACGGTCGGTGACCCCGAGCGATGAAAATGAACGTTCTGCCACTTTCCGTCCCGGCGGTGCCACACGCGGGTCTCTTCTGACTGCATGGTCTTTGGCATCCCGCTGCCGTCCATGTACTGCGTGAGCCTGATGTAGGCGATGCAGGCGGCGTCGTCCCCCACCAGGTGCACGTGAGGGTTCAGGATGATAGTGTGGATCGGTTTATTGCTTTTGGACAAAGCTGAAAGAGAACACGAAAAGCAAAAGTTAGTTTCCGTGTCAACTGAGACCAGTAAGAACTTCAGTTGGGACCAATGAATGAAATGCCATTCATACACTCATTAAGTAAATAATTAATCAATCTACTAACTATCTGCTCTCATCAAATGCTGTAAGAGAAAACGCAAAAGTGGAGACGGTCTTTATTTTCTTTGATTCCCTTTACGGGCAATTTGTATGCTACTCTAGAAATTTTGATTGATTGGGGAAAAAGCTGGAGGGATGTATTTATTTATAATAGGAAGTGGTTAGAAACAGAAGCCGTAAGATGAACAGAGGTGGGGCAAGCCTGGCCCAGGTGCACCGAGTGGTTCTGGTCTTCAAAGACGGAAGTGCTGGGGCAGTTGGCAGGGATCTTGTGGTGTTTGCATTTGTTAGTTGATGAAGTATGTGTGGCAAGCAAAGTATATCAAGTATCAAGCATGGAGATCACTGTCTCTAAAAAAGCTGGTGGTAGCATGAATTTGTTTCTGCATCTCGTCCTGTGACTCCCCCTCATAGTAGAGTCCTTTCCATGATAGTTCAGTTGTGATCATCTGGTAAAAATCTCAAATTTGGTGTTGGGCGCATAGCCTGGTTCTGACCCTCAGCTCTTTCCTTGGACTGAGTAGCCCTCACGAGGCTCCAGCCTCTGGTGTTTGGACAGTAGCTACCCATGCCATTATTCAATGCCAAGAGATACGTGTTTTTATTAGAGATGAGATGGTGTTGACCAAGAGTCAGTTGGAGGAAACATGAAATGCTATTGTGAAGCTTTGTTAAAGTGAATTTATTAAATACTTCTTCTTGATTATTTGTTTGAAAGTGCCTAGTGCATATAAGAAAGAGTAATTCATTCAATACAT